ATAGCAGGGTAGATGATCAAGAATTTGTAAAATTGAATTTTAAGGCATTTCGACAGAACTTTGAAGAAATGATCCAAATTGAAAAAAATTTATGCGATTAATTAATTGTGACACGTGCTCAATTTGCGTCCGAAATTTTAATCTTGTTAATATTAATATAATAATAATAATAATAATTTAATTGTCTGCCTGAGAAAATAAAATTTTTATGTTTCAGTTGTTAGATTTATACTTGCTTAAAAAGGAATAGATGGGAATAAAATCAGTGGGATATGGGAATAATCTTTTTACTATTATTATGTATAAATAGTGGAAATTTAGATAAACTTTAAATATAAAGGTTCCGCGATTGTATTTCCTAACATTCAATTAATTACCGATCGGAGAGCATCTCGAAGTTGATCCAACATTTACCCTATATTTATTAAGTATTAATAAAGTACTTAATCTTTTATATATAAGTATTTATTTGCATTTAAAATAAATATTTATTTATTACTTTGACATTAAATTTAAAAAAATACTTCGAAATATTTTTAATTTAATATTTATCAATTAGTATGGTTGGCTTGGTCTAAAGACCTCCTATTGCTGCGCCATCTAGTCAAATTTCAAAAATAGCAATTTTGTATGGTTGGCTCGGTCTAAAGACCTCCTATTTGCTGCGCCATGCGGCAGTAACTCGTTCAAAAATAGGACTTCACGTGATTTTAGTTTTCTTATTGCCAAATTTAGATACGATAGTCAATAGCTAGTCTAAATTTGGTAATAATTTCCTAAATTTAGAAATGATATTAGTGGACAAATTCCTCGCGAGCATAGTAAAGTACATGTTTTAAAAAAGAATAGAACTCCACAACAAATAATTTTTTTGAGAAAATCTCTCTATTACATTAAAACTAAAGATATATTCTATCAACTAATAGAGCTATTTTTTAGAAAAGTAGGACAGAAAGTGACTTCTATACTTTTAAAATTTGCCCAAAATTTATGAGGTCTTTAGACCGGGCCCAAAGTATTTTGACACGTCATAAATGGGGTTGCACATTTAGTAAAGGGGTGTTACACTTATGTTTTTAATAGTGAGTGCCGTAATTAAATTTCTATTTTCTGCCATCAAAATTGGAATAATTTTGACTATTGAAATCACCAACCAATTTGGGCTGCATGTTAGACATATGAAGATATGTATTAATTAAACATTTAAATTTACTATTTAAAAAGCATTTAATTATTAAGAAATTATTTAGTAGTATTTGGGGCATACTGCAACAAAGCCAGACAAAGTGAACATTGCTTCACATAAGTTTACAGAGTTTGAAATTTAGTGTAGTGATAATTGATAATTCTAAAAAGCATTTATCATTATTATTTTTAACTATTATAATCCTTTATGCAAATGTAATGAATTATGATTGTCATATTGCAAATCATTGTTAAACATAATTTAAAAAACAAATATTTACAATAACATTTAAAAAATGCTTACTTTCAATTGTGAACTTTTTTGCAGGTTGTTATTTGGACTCCCTCTTGATTTTTTACTTCATGATAAAGCATATAAATCAATTCTATATTATAAATCATAAATTGATCAAGAAAAAATCAATTCAAAAAATAGAACAAAAAAAAACAAACTTACTGGTGATAAAAAAAATAGTAAGTCTATGGATTGAAATCCATAAAACTCGCACAGAGTTGTCACCTATTGATTATTTTGGGTGGTGTGTATAATTAATGGTGACAATAGGGAATTTAATTATATGGATCAGGAATTTTTATACCAATAATGGTTTTAGTTTTGTGGTTATAATAATTGGGTAGGTTGAAACCTTGTTATTTCTTCAAGAAATATTTTATTGTTATTATAAGTTATCAGAAGTTAATAAAAGTTATACATGAAAACAAATTTCTTATATACATGTCATCCTGCATTATCTCTAATTAGCACAATTTTCCTTCATTATTGTGAAAACCCTCTTTTGTATTCCCTAGTGTTTTCCCGCTTTTGATGGGATTTTCCTTGATGTGCGATCTCCCTACACAATGCATTAATTAAATCAAGAGCAGCCATACATATTAACCAAAATGATACACAATATCAGTATTTAACAAAAATCATAAAACTGAAATTTATTATTTCAAAATAATTTAGCTTTAAAAAATAAAATAAAGATAAAATAAAAAGATAAAATAATTACAATGAATAATTTATAGTAGAGATCATCCATCAATTCTTTCTCTTAATTATTAGAATCTAAATAAAAAATATTGTTAATAATAATTAATGGATAGTTAACTTCAATTAATAATGAGATTTTTATTCACCTTTATTAAACATTTAAGAGAAGAGAGTTAAAATCAAGATTATTTAATGAACTATCATTACTTGTACAACTTTTAGATTTAGTAATCTTGTCATCACTTTTATGATATGCATCTGGATGTGATTTGTGCACTTGTTGTGAATCGTTACTACTACTACTACTACTATTATTAAAACTAGACCAGATCAGATCTTGAATCAGATCAAATAAAAATTCTTAATTCATAAAATGATTTTTTATAAATTTTATTATTATTATTTGTACACAATATCTCAGATCAGATCAGATTCAATGTTTAAAGAACCAGATCAGATCCAATATTTTAAGCAAAAATAATGTATGTAATATAATTGTAGGAATAATGCCTCATACAGATACTGCAACTATGTTTGGTCCTGTGGTATTAAGCCTTTCTTGCTTAACGAAATTTACCCACATCAGGAAATTTTTCTAGGGGATAAATATTGAGATACATCATTTATCGATATTTATCTCAATAAAATTAACGAAATAAGATAGATATGTAACGATATTCAAGATAATTAACAATAAAGATAATATATGAAATTAATCACCAAGATAATTGATGAAAAAGATTATATACGAAATTAAATCACTAAGATAATTAACGATAGCGATTATATATGAAATTAATCAGATTGCTTGTTTATTTCCTTCATGTCTGTTTGATTCTTGTTGTGTAATTATGTACTTTCCGTTTGGCTCCTTCAGCCACTAGAATTTGCACTTATACTAGCCGCACTCATAGTACTTAGTTCTTCAAGTATTTTATTGGTTTCCTTCTAGAGCTATTACAATTAATTTATTCTAAAATAGAATAATTCTAAATTTTTTAATTGCTTGAAGAAAAATTGAATAAAAAAACAAACGATCAAATTATTTACTATTAAAGTATTTTAATCAATTAGATTATACTATTTGTTAATGACAAAAATCATCCCAAGTTGGCCTACAGAAGTACATCCTACTATGACTTTTTTTAAAAAATCGTTTTTAAAAGATACTGGTGGAATTTTGATCCCTTTAAACAAAATTGTACTGCCATGTGATACATGCATCAGAAATTTTAAACCAGTTGATTAAAAAATACGCAGCCTATTTTGTTTGTTATTATTTTTAAATTGCTAAAGTTAGAAACAATCACCCCAATCTATATACGTACGTATAATAAATATTAAATTTCGCGGCCAAGAGCCAAGCTCCTCATGAAAAAAACATATGCTAAAAAAAACAGAATTCATACCACAATGAAACTTGAGTCTTAATCTGTGCGTGAAAAATGAATTTCGTACCCAAACACTTCTCCATCTTTAATTACAGGTTTCAACTTCAATTTCACATACAGCGCAATTATAGTAATAATAGAGTTATTTTAAAGAGAATCTTCAAGAATGGTTTTCTATTTTTTAAAAAAATCTCGTGAAAAATTGGTGGTTTAAGAGATCCTGCATCATAATATTTTTTTTAAAATTTGGCATTACAATTTTATATTAATACAGTCATAATAGACTCTCGGATTACACATGTAATTTTCTATTTATCCTACTGTAATAAGAGATTGTTAACTATAATTATAAAAAAAAAAACAGATGAAACAAAAAAGTCCATTGTAGTATGTCGATCATTATTTTTAAGTGTAAATAGTTATGTGAGAAAATCATTTTATTCTATATTAAATTCCAACTCGTAAGTTTTTATATATTTTTTTTAGGCGATCCATATATCTTTTTAAAGAAAGTCGACATTTGTTCTTATCATAGAACTTCTGAATTGTATGGCAAACGGACAATAATAAGCGAGTTATTTTTGTAGATACCTTTTCCTTCATCAGTAAATTTTTTTGATGCAAGTTTTAAATAAATTTGCATTTCATTTAAGAAGAGAGAGGAATAAAAATCGCGTCAGGTTTGTGATATTATGGAGTTCTCTCACTCAGAAACTTCCAAGTTATTGGTTGTTTCCTGATTTGTAACCCACATAATAAAGTAGTATTGATTTCTTGTTTGTCTAATTAACCCATTTTGGTTTAAAAAAAGGGGTGTTAGTTGTAAATCAAAAAATAGTAAACTCCTAACAAATTTGCTCTGTGGCTGATATTGCGTTCGAATTATAAATATCAATGATTTGGTTTTTAAAAAGTCAAAAAAAAATCTTTGATTTTGATTAACAAGTTGTTAATTAAATCATTATAATAATACTCTCCAGAAATTTTTTGAAAACATGTCTCAACACAACGGAGAAGCATTAAAAAAACTGAATCAAGAAAGTGAGAGAAAGAGTAATGTGGCTGGATCCCTCTCTTCAACACAAAAGACTAAATCAACTCGACAAAAAATATTTAAGAATGTTCTAAATTTGGGATTATTGGTATTCGTCGATATCATTCTACCCATTATTCTCTTTACTATTTTTAAACATTTTGTGCCGGAGATTTGGGCAGTGGTTATATCAGGTGTCCCGCCGTTTCTTCTTGTTATTACCAACTTTATTATTAACAGGCGTATTGACATTTTGGGGATGCTTATACTAGTCAGTTTTATTGTCAGTGCTATTGTGTCACAATTTCGAGGCGATCCAAAACTTTTCTTATTGCAAAAATCTGCAGTCACGGCTAGTATCGGTGTATTATTCCTCATTACTTTGATTCCATTCAAAATCGGATCCTTCAAAATGCGGCCTTTAACATTCTATTTTGCTAAAGACGCGGCATCGGGTGGATTCTTTGGCCATAGTGGTCCAGGCACCAAACTTTCAGGTTTAACAGAGGATGAACCTATGGATAATCGTTGGGAGAGGTATTGGAATTCTTACCCTATGTTTCGACGTGGATTTATTGTTATAACAGCTGGCTGGGGAGTGGGATTACTTTGTGAAATTCCTATCCGTGTTCTTATTATTTACAAAGTGGATGCGATTGATCAAGACATTTTGTATACAAACATAGTAACTTACATTTTGTCAGCTGTAATGATACTGGCAACTGCTTTGTACAGTGCGAGTTTGAAGAAAAAAATGAGAAAAGGTCTAGCAGGAGATGACCAAATGGAAGATGGTCAAACGGAGGATGGTCAAAAGTGAAGACTAAATAATCGATAAGTTATAGACAATATAATTAAATGTTTAATTTAAATTTCAAAATTAACACGCATAAGCTATTAAATTTCAAAATTTGAATCTTAAAACCCTGATCCAAATATGTGTTTGTAATAAGTAGTATTATCAAAAAATAATATAATGAATTTAAAATAATCGAATCTAAATTTATAATTACAGTTAGTTGTCACACTCTTGGGTGTCAAATCGTGAACTAACACCTCTTATTATTATCAAAAAATTTTTAATGATATCTGTCTGTTTTAAATTAAAGTAACGTAATAATTTTTCGAGTATGTTTTTCTGCGAATTCGGAAGCGTAAATGAAAATCTCGATGGCTCACTTTGCATCCTCATTTGTAAACTTGTTCATAATGAAAATTAATTTAATTAATATTAAATATACAATACCAAGAAAAAATTATTGTTTGTACGTTAAATATATTAAACCAATGGATTAATGCCAAGTTTCTACTGAGTTAACCAACTAGTTTGTTAAACCTTCCTTGTAGTTTAACCCGATTGAAGTGATCTATTATCATGCCTCTTATCATCAATTAATATTATTTGTCTATTATTTATTATTTTATTAAGATTTCATCTAACATTTTTATCATTGTTAGTGGATGTGTGAGTGAGTTTGAAATTCACACCTCAAGTGGTAGAAATTGGTTGATCACTTGACTCAATCAGGTGACTTTTGACGCAATTAATTTTGACGACATGCATAAACCCTTCACGAGAGAGCAAGCCATAACTCCTAAAGCCACCATGAATATACAGCCTCACCCTTCCTAGCCATATATACCTGTACTAACTATCCTAACTATAGTGTGTGACAAAAAAAAATGGAAACCTTTTTTATTTGTTCTCAATAATGATTGAATGTAAATGATAAAAATGTATCAATAGAAAGCTGAAATTAGAAGTTTTTATTAATATAAATTTTATATGAAATTTATTTTAATTATTTTTAATATTAGGCAATGAAGTTAATTTTGTTATATTTAAAAATTACATTATAAAAATCGGCAAATTCATTTCTTGCTAATTTGCCAAATATCATTCCAACTCTTTGGAATTTTTAGCATTCATTACTCTATGTCTCGTTTAATAAGCTCACCAAAATTATGATGTTTTATTACATGAATAATCATCACATAACTAACAGCACATTTTTAAGCTGAAGTTTTTATGAATAAATTTTTGAGCTTAAAATAATTCAATACATACATTCCAGTTAATATATATAATCGTAAGAATCAGGGCTGGCAGCGTAAAGGGGTTAAAAATTTAATTTAGTAATAATAATCTTGACTTAACATATGACTAAATAGTTTAATCAGTTTAGCCAAGTGCTCATTTGAGTTACGCAGTCAGCCCTGGTAAGATCCCAGGCTACAACTAATGTAGAATTTTCGTGATAATTAAAAAGACATGCCCAGATGCTTCCTTCCAGTAGTGTAGTGTATGCAAGTATTTCAAAATGACGTTTTCTTGAAAATTGGATTGGTTTAATAAAAAATGGTTTTTAAAGAAAAGGCCAAGTTTAAAGGCTACTGTTAAAATTTTCGGTGGGGTTTTAATCCCTTTAGAAATATATTATGTACGTTTAAATACCCAAACTCGTACTTGCTCTATAATATCATGTGATACACTCTTTAAAAATTTTCATTTTTCCAAAATAAAAACCAAGTTCTTCATGAAAAAAAACATGTACTAAAAAAGCAGAATTCAACCACAATAAAAGCTTTGGTCTTAATCTATGTGTGAAAATGAATTTGCAATTCACATAGTGGAAATTAAATTAGTCAAACAAAATGAATTTTGTATCTAAACACTCCTTCATATTTAATTACAGGTTTCAACTTCAATTTCACATACAACGCAATTATAGTAATAATAGAGTTATTTTAAAGAGAATATTCATGAATTTTTTAAAATCTTGTGAAAAATTGGTGGTTTAAGAGATATTTTTTTTTAATGGAAGTGAAATTATATGTTCAAACCAAGTCCCATTTTTGATCAATATTATTTGTTGGTCCAACTTCTATAATTACATCTTCTGGATTTTTACCGTGGGAACATTTGCTATAATGATATATTCATTTCTATTTCAAAATAAACAATAATAAAAATAATTTAATTTTTTATAAAGTTAATGTAGAGAATGTTACTTGGTTTTATATAATAATACTAATAATACCTGTTATCAAAAACACCACGATTTTTATCATCCTCAAAAATTATTTTATTGTCATTGCTGTTATCATCAGCTACTAATATCATTATTATCTGTACTGATACTAATACTATTGTTGTTATTGACACTACTGCTACTATTATTATCATCAAGATTGCTATTATCATTGTTGTTATTACCAACAATACTATTATCATGTATGTAGTTTACTGATCTGTTAGTTCTATAGTATGTAGCAGCTGAAAATGTAATTGTATTTCCTTGGTTATCATGATAAATATGATTGTTGTATATACCTATAATAAAAAAAATCTAAATTATGGAAGTGGATATGTGCGAATCTAAATTAAAATTAATTGTAGTTCTACTAAAATATTTTTAATATGTAACAATCTATCAAGAAAAATTTTTTACTCTTTATCATGTAATTTTTTTATGTGTGATACCTCCTCACTTGAGGTAAATTGGAACTCATCCATTCTTCAAAATAAGCTGCGTTTTTATCTGTATGACCGGAACCTCCCACAAAAACGGATAATGCTGAGTTTGAACAACGCTCTAATTGTTAATAAATTATATTTAATAAATAATTTTATACGCATAAGATAGGTATGTACAGAGAAAAGAAGAAACATCTTGGGAGGAACTTCAAGCGAGACATCATTTTTAAATGAAGGGAAATAGTGGGAAAACTACACTTAAAAATAAACTTCACTTGAAGTGGAGGACTATACTTGGGAATAGATACCTCTTATGACTTCGAAATCATCTCCATCCTTTATTATAGTTTTTTTTCAAGTTGCACGGATATGACTTGAATTTAAAAATATCTAACAAAATTCATTTATATTTTTCTTTTTTGGGCTTTACAATCAGATTTTTTATTGCTGTATATAGTCAAATCTTGTTATAATAAACCCTCATTATAACGAATTTTATATGTGAGAAACACGCTCAAGAGAGAGAACAAATCAAAATTTTATAAATTAAGGAAGATTACACCACTCCATTACAACTTTTTTCCTGCATAAGTATTATCAAGAAAAACACATTTTTTACAAATCAAACTCAATCATGTCTCGAAGGAGTTATATACTCCGAATTCAAACTTGGAAAACTAATTATTGCAGTTGAGTCATGTATCACAACACATACATATTTTTTTTTCAATAAGATCGTCATAAATAACAATATTATCATTTTTTTCCCTTTTTAAAATTTAAAATACGTGCCAATCATAATTACTCTTAATATTAATTCTTCAAAAAAAAAAACGAAACGATATATTTGTAAAACTAAAGCTAATAATATTTTACATATATTAAGAAAGGTTCGTAGTTTTTTATGCAAACAATTTCCTTGTTTTGTAATAAACTGAACACAGACTTTTCATCTATTCTTAATTTAACGTTAACGTTAAAAAATAAAAATTTAACGTTATAGTTAAACAAATTCCAACTCGTAAGTTTTTATAGGCGATTCATATATCTTTTTAAAGAAAGTCGACATTTGTTCTTATCATAGAGCTTCTGAATTGTATGTCAAGCAGACAATAATAAGTAAGTTATTTTTGTAGATGCCTTTCCTTTATCAGTAAATTTTTTTGATGCAAGTTTTAAATAAACTTGCATTTCGTTTAAGAAGAGAGTGGAATAAAAATTGTGTCAGGTTTGTGTTATTATGGAGTTCTCACACAGAAACTTGCAAGTTATTGGTTGTTTCCTAATTTGTAAGCCACATAAATAAAGCAGTACTGATTTCTTGTTTGTCTAATTAACCCATTTTGGTTTAAAAAAAAAAAGGGTGCTAACTTGGGTTAGTTACAAATCAAAAATAGTAAACTCCTAACAAGTTTGCTCTGTGGCTGATATTGCGTTCGAATTATAAATATCAATGATTTGGTTTTTAAAAAGTCAAAAAAAAATCTTTGATTTTGATTAACAAGTTATTAATTAAATCATTATAATAATACTCTCCAGAAATTTTTTGAAAACATGTCTCAGCACAACGGAGAAGCATTAAAAGAACTGAATGAAGAAAGTGAGAGAAAGAGTAATGCGGCTGGATCCCTCTCTCCAACACAAAAGACTAAATCAACTCGACAAAAAATATTTAAGAATGTTCTAAGTTTGGGATTATTGGTATTCATCGATATCATTCTACCCATTATTCTCTTTACTATTTTTAAACACTTTGTGCCGGAGATTTGGGCAGTGGTTATATCAGGTGTCCCGCCGTTTCTTCTTGTTATTACCAACTTTATTATTAACAGGCGTATTGACATTTTGGGGATGCTTATACTAGTCAGTTTTATTGTCAGTGCTATTGTGTCACAATTTCGAGGCGATCCAAAACTTTTTTTATTGCAAAAATCTGCAGTCACGGCTAGTATTGGTGTATTATTCCTCATTAGTTTGATTCCATTCAAAATCGGATCCTTCAAAATGCGTCCTTTAACATTCTATTTTGCTAAAGACGCGGCATCGGGTGGATTCTTTGGCCATAGTGGTCCCGGCACCAAACTTTCAGGTTTAACAGAGGATGAACCTATGGATGATCGTTGGGAGAGGTTTTGGAATTCTTATTCTATGTTTCGACGTGGATTGATTGTTATAACAGCTGGCTGGGGAGTGGGATTACTTTGTGAAATTCCTATCCGTGTTCTTATTATTTACAAAGTTGATGCGATTGAACAAGACATTTTGTATACAAACATAGTAACTTACACTTTGTCATCTGTACTGATACTGGCAACTGTATTGTACAGTGCGAGTTTGAAGAA